CCTCTATGAGATGGATTGATTCAGTGACTGGGGTAATCGGGATGGGTGTGTCAGAGGCGGTGTGGTTGGTGCAGGATAGAGCAGGGTTTAGGGCTGTTGTGCATAGGGTCGCTATGAGTCGGAAACGACTTGACGGCACATAACAACAACAAGTCAGTATTTCTGATTCCCTTTGCTGTCAGATATCAAAACTTTCATTCATTCAAGGGGCGCTCTGGTGGCCTAGTGGCAAGAAGCTGTACTGCAATCCCAGAGGGACACGGTTCGAATCCACCAGATCCTCTGCCGGAGAAGGAGTAGCAATATCCTCCTGTACCAGTCAGATCTGATTTGATGGTACATGCACACAAAATTTAAAAAAAAAAAACTTTCATTCTACAAATATAGCACTCAAATGTCGATATATCCATACAGAAAGGGACTCTGAGGAAGGGGGATCTGGCCTCAAGCTGATTTTTGGTGGTAAAAGGAGCAGAAATTTTCTGCAATCATTTGTCAGTTTTTCAGTCTAGCAGAAATGCCCTTAAGCTCTCCATCTCCAATCTTTTTCCATAGCACTTAACCTATGACAGTGTACACAACTCCAATGACTACAGGTATCATTCATATGTGTGCAGCTGTGCTCATGTGAAATCTCAACATGGGCCAAGAAACAGTCCTCAGAACGGAGCAAGGAAACACCACATGATTAAAAGTCAGGAAAGGAGTGCACAGGAATGCGTCCTGTCTCTGTACCTTTTCATATAAGTGGAACAGATCATTTGGGAGGCTGGACTTTATAAGGAGGAATGTGGCATCAGGATTGGAGGAAGACTCATCAACAACTTGCACTATGCAGAGGACACAACCTTCCTTGCTGAAACTGAGGACCTGAAACATTTGCTGCAGAGGGTCAAGTTTGCTTCAATGTGGATTGAAGTTCAACATCAAGAAGGCAAAGAATCTCATCACTGTGCCAGTTGCCAGCACCACAATAAATGGAGAAGAGATTGAGGTTGTTAACAATTACAGCTTGCTCAGCTCCCCAATCAACACTCTTGGCACCAGCAGTCAGGAAATCTCCTTCAAGGACCTCTTCAGAGTGCTAAAGAATAACAATGTCAATACAAAGACTAAGAGGCACCTGATCCAAGCCATCATCTTTTCAATTGTTTGCTATTCAAATTAAAGCTATACACTGACTAAGGATGAGAGAAGAGAATCATTGATGCCTTTGTTGTTGTTGTGTACTGTTGAGTCAGATCTGACTGGCACAGGAAGAGATTGCCTCTCCTTCTCCAGTGAAGCAAAGTGGATTTGAACTGTGCACCTTTAGGATTGTAGTTCTCATCAATGCCTTAAGTTGTGCTAGACAGAGTACTGAACATTCCATGGACCACGAAGGGAAGAAACAAAAAGGTCTTTCCTCTCTAGGGAGCTTTGGTGGCCTAGTGGCGAGAAGCTGCACTACAATCCCAGAGACATGTGGTTTGAATCCACCAGATTCTCTGCTGGAGAAGGGGAGGGCCATCTCCCGTACCAGTCAAATAAGATTTGATGGTACACACACACAAAAAATAATAAAATAGAATTTTTTTAAAAAAAGGTCTTTCCTGTTGTTGTTGTTATGTGCCGTCGAGTCGCTTGCGACTCATAGCGACCCTATGTACAATAGCCCTAAACTTTGCTCTGTCCTGTGCCAATCACACTGTCTCTGACACACCCATCCCGATTACCCCAGTCACTGAATCAATCCACCTCATAGAGGGCCTTCCCCTCTTGTGCTGTCCCTCCACCCTACCAAGAATGATGTCCCTCTCCAAGGACTGGTCCCTCCTTATAACATGTCCAAAGTATGTTAGACAGAGCCTCAGAATCCTTGCCTCCAAGGAGCTGCCCCATTTGACCCTTTCCAGAATGAATTTGTTTGTTTTCCTAGCAGTCCATGGTACCTTCAATACTCTTCTCCAGCACCACAGCTCAAACGCATCAATTATCCTTCTATCCTCCTTAGTCATTGTCCAACTCTCTGATGCATAACAAGTGATTGCAAAGACCATGGCCTGTTCAGACGCACCTTAGTCTCCAGAGAGACACCATTGCTCTTCAGTACTTTGGAGAGATCCCTAACAGCAGATTTTCCCATGGCAATGCGCCTTTTAATTTCCTGGCTACTGGTGCCAAGAGTGTTGACTGTGGAGCCAAGCAATCTAAAGCTGTGAACAATCTCAAACCAAGGAGCTCCTTGGTGGCAAGGATGGTAAATTCCATCTAATATACTTTGGAAAGTTTTTCAGGAGGGGCCAGTCTTTAAAGAAGGATATAACATTTGGGTAAGTGAAGAGTCAGTGAAAGAGAGGAAGACCCTCAGTGAGATGGATTGACACAGTGACAGCAACAATGGGGTCAAGTGCGTCAGAGATGGTGAGACTGGCTCGGGACAGGGCAAGGTTCAGAGCCATTATTCACAGGATTGCTATGAGTCGTAGTTGGCTCAATTGCACGTAACAACGGCATAGGTGTTGATGTGGATCCAAATAAAATGCAACTGTTGACAATGTCAGTCTTCTCTATCATCAGGTTTCCTCCTGGTCTAGTGGTGAGGATTTTTGGTTTTTTTATTTTGAGATACTGAAGGCTTAGTCTTTGATCTTTTGTAGCAAGTGTTTCAAGTCCTCTTCACTTTCAGCAAGCAAGTTTGTGTCATCTGCGTAACACAGGTTGTTGATGAGCCCTCCTCCAATTCTGATATTAGATTTCTTCATATATTCCAGTTTCTCAAATTATTTCTCTCTACGCAGATTTTATAGGGACCTCTCCAAAGTACTGAAGAGCAATGGTGTCTCCCGAGAGACGAAGGTGTGTCTGATACAGGTCATGGTCTTCGCAATCACTTGTTATGCATCAGAGAGTTGGACAATGACCAAGGAGGATAGAAGGAGAATTGATGCCTTTGAGATGTGGTGCTGGAGAAGAGTACTGAGAATACCATGGACTGCTAGGAAAACAAACAGATTTGCCCTGGAAAGGGTTAAACTGGGTGGCTCCTTGGAGGCAAGGATTCTGAGGCTCCGTCTAACATACTTTGGACATGTTGTGAGAAGAGACTGGTCCTTGGAGAAGGACATCATGCTTGGGAGGGTGGAGGGACAGCGCAGGAGGGGAAGGCCCTCTATGAGGTGGATTCAGTGACTGGGATAATCGGGATGGGAGTGTCAGAGACAGTGCGATTGGCACAGGACAGAGCAGAGTTTAGGGCTGTTGTACATAGGGTTGCTATGAGTTGCAAGCAACTCGACGGCACATAATAACAACAACAGCTGTTAACTCATCTTAAAAAGCATGTCAAAAATAGACTGTTACTTTGAACACTATTGATAAGGGATCAGATGAGTTGTGGGCTGCCACTAATGATATCAACCATAAAGAAAACAGAAGGTCATTACAAAAAGAAAAGACCAAAATGGATGTCAAAAGAGACTGAAAACTGCACTAGAATTTGGACTACAATCTAAAACAAAGTGAAGAAATGCTGAAGTAAACAATATGAAGAGAAAATTTCAAAGGGTATCTAGAGATAACAAAGTATTACAATGAAATGTACAATGATCTGGCATTAGAAAATCGTAAGGGAAGAACACTTGTCATTTCTGAAGCTGAAAGAAATGAACTAATTCAAGCCTTGAGCCACAGCACTGAGGGATGCTATGGCTGAAACCTTAAATGACACAGGAAGCAGCAAAAGAGAAAGGGGTAATATACAATCACTGTGGCAAAATTACTTGGTCAACACTGCAATAGCTGGTAGCTAAACAACAGACAAGCCTAAAAGGTGACACTAGAGAGGAACTCACTCCTGAGAACAATCAGCCATACAAGATCCAAGGGCAGCTTCTGTCCAAGCAAAGCTCAGAAGGCAGGAAAGAACATAATGAAATGTGAAACAGAGGAAGTGAGAAGAATGTTGTTACAATGTGGGGATTGGAATCAATGTCATAAAACAAAACTGTGTGACTTGTTGAAGTAAAAACTAATTTGCTCTGTGAACTTTCATTCAAATCACATCAGAAAGTTAATAATTCTAATAATAATCCAACTCCACTAACCACATTTCAAAAGCTCACCCGCCAAACCTGGATAAAAACTACTATATCAGTATTAGTAAAGAACATTTCAATCAATCCAGAAAGTTCTATAAGACGCTGTCGTCCAGATGAACAATCTGAGGGGAAGCTGGATACCCCTTGAGACCACTCACCAAGCCCCTTCCTCTTCTTTAGGTTGTCTTTACAGAGGCACTGCTGTGTGGTGTCCAAGCGGCCACACTCTTCCCGAGAAAGGTACAAAGCCAGATCCTCAAAGGTCACCGGCATCTGAAAGAACAGAAGCAGCCAAATATACAACAGGGCCACACCAAGGAACAAGTGAAGGGACAAGATGGAGTCACAATGGTGGTAGGAGCCTATACTCACAGCACCACTGCATAAGGCCACCTACTGCTTGGACTAGCCAGTTTTGTACACCCAAGGATGGGCTTTCTGTGTATGCATGTTTATGTGAGTATGCATGGGTGTGAAAAGAACAAGGCAGTGTGTAGAGATGTGGACAAAGTGTCCTTCCTAGGGGACCACAGCCTTCCTCAGCAAGTCCTCAGCTCAGGGCCCAATCCCTGAGGAAGGATGAGGCTCAGAGAAGATGCCTCTGCCATCCAGGTGTCTGCTCCTCTGTGGGACCTGGTCAGAGGCTGGGCAGCCACCTGGCCAATATGCAGTGGGCCCTGACAAGGGGTTCCAGCTACCAGAAGGTGGCTGAGTGGGTCTGGGCCTTCACAAGGCACCATGCAGGGAAGCAGAACTGAGCACTCACCCATGGCATGGAAGAGGCCAGATCAAAGCGTAGATCAAAGAGAGCCACTCACCTGAGACCAGGCAGTGAGAAGGGCTGAGGCCATGTGCTGCTCTCTGGTTCTCTCTTCCTGGGAAAGGGCCGAGACCTGCGAAGAGGGGTGGGCTGGGCAAGAAGAGGGGTCTTCAGGTGGTCAGCACTCATGCTGGGCCCTGCTACCCTACAGGGCTCAGTCCTATCCTCCAGGGAAATTCATGACCCACAAATACCACTGGCCCTGGGTCTAAGAATAGAGGAGGGGTGCTGAGGCTGCACGGGGCCATCTCTGCCAGGCAGGGGAGCAGGCAGGGGTGCTTCCAGGCAGGCTGTAGGCAGGAGTACATCCAGGTAAGGGTGCAGGCAGGCAAGGGTGTGGCCAGGCAGTAGTACAAGAAGGCAAGGGAGCAGGTAAGGGTGCTGCCAGGTAGGGGTATAGGCTGGGGTGCACACAGGAAGGGGTGCTGGCAGACTTTCCACATGGAGCAGAACAGCTCTTCTACCTTGCCCAGCCCCCAGAACCCTCTCCCTCTAGCTGTGAGCCTCCACTGACCCCTGGAATGTACCTCTTAGTTTCTCAGGCCCCTGTTCGTATCTGCTTGGCAGAAGAGTCTTCTTGGAGCCACGGCTCAGGGATGACAACCGCCATGCATTTGGCACCCCTTCCTCCTTTGACATCCCCTTAGCCTGGGGATCATGGGACTCAGAATTGATGTGAGGTGAGTCCTGAGTGGCTTCCAAAGCCGCCTCCTCCTCTGAGTCAGAGGGCATTTCTAGACAAGGATGCTGAACACCTGGAAGCTAGCAAAGGGAGCCCCTCAGCACTGGGTGAAAAGTGCGAGAAAGACCCCACCTCTGCCCTTGGGCAGGATACTGCTGGCAGCAGGAGACCTAAGGGTGTCAGAACAAACATTGGATTCAAGGCCCAGTCTGGCCATGCTCGTGCTGCTAGCGCTGTCTTCTTCTCAACACTCTTGAATCACTGGCTCCCCCAGCAGGAGAGGGCACAAGGGAAGGGACAAAAGCACAAGCAGCTTCATGGAGCAGCAGCTACAAAGCACTGAGGAACCTGCCAGGGCCGCCACCTGTCAGAGAACAGCTGTTCTTTGGGCTTTCCTTGGCTGTATTCTCTAGAGACCCTCAAAATCCCCAGCTCTGAAATCCCAAACCCAGGCTTTTCCATGACCTGCTGAAGTCAAACTTAATCTTACTCAATTAAGGACCCTGTCTGATCTTAAACAGGAATAGTCATAATCTCTGACTGGCCCATTTCTTGTAAACAATCACATCTTTTGGGTCAGAAAAATGAACACTTGTTCAGTTTGCAAAAGCACATCAAACTGTACTTCTGATATTCACATTTTTGTCTATATAAATTAAAATCTATCAAAGCTAGAACCTGTGTAGGTGGGAAGGGTCCACAGAAGCAAGAGAAAAGTGACTGTGCTGCTTCAAAGGCAGGAAACTTTCAGAACCCAGCAAAAAATCTAGTCCTGTCACCAGCTTCATACTGCAAGCCACTTCTGAAAATTAACATGTTTGAATAGACTACTGTCCTTAGATTCTGTCTGAGATGGAGTACTTCTCAAATTTAAAAACATATAAACAAACCAGGCCTCAGTGGTCTCAAAGACAGGCTCATGGACATGAAACTAAGCCAATCAGTCACAGGATTAGTCTTACTGGATCACACACATTTGTTCTTCTTCATAGTAATCCTGAATCATACATATTTTGGGTTTTTCTTAATTTATTTTATTGTTGTTCCAATGAAGAAAAGTAATAAAGGCAATTGAGGAGCCAGGGGGGAGCAGGTTGGTGTCATGGACTGAATTGTGTTCCACAAAGTACATGATGTTCTAATGTGGAAATTAAGTAACAACTCCATGATGTGATAAACCAAACAGTGTAGGAGAATTAAGGGTGGAATGCAACACTCTCAATCACATTGAGCCCTGTTTAGTGGAGCCAGGAGACTCAGTACCACCAGAAATATCACCAGGAGGGAAGTGTGTCTTTCTGGGCCCAGGCCTTTCTGTGATGGCGTTCCTTGGAACAGGAAGTCCAAGACATTGAAAATCTCCAGAAAACACCAGGTCTACAAATGCTGAGGAGACAAGAACTTTCCTCTCCTGTGAGACAGACCTTCCCTTAGTGCATCCTGAATTTAGACATACATTCTCCAGAACTGTAAGAAAAGAAATTTGTTTTTTTAACCATGTGTGGTATCTGTCACAACAGCAATTAGTTAATTAGGATGGAATAAATCAAATGAAAAAACAAAACATCAAACCCCATATATTGCTATTGTTGCTTGCCATGTGTCACCATGGCTAGGCCACGATTTTCAGTAGTGTAGCAGTTATATACAATTATCCCCATGAGGTGATTGGTCAACCAGCTGTAAGGAAATTAGGGATGGAATACCCTCACTCAAGTCACAGCCCCACTACAAACTAAAGGAGTTTCTCTGGAATGTGGCTTTTATCCTCTTTCCTCTTAAAGCAAAAAGAGATACAGAGGAGAGGGCACAGTATCACCAAGAAAAGGGAGCCAGGAGGAGGGCATATCTGTTGGGTCAAGTGTCTCTGCTCTGTGAAATTTCTAGACCCAAGAAATTAATGTGAAGGCACACAGAGGTTTCCAAGGGATGCTGAGCTCAGATGTTAAGAGACAAATTTCCCATACAGGTGACAGAGAAAGTGAGCCCTCCTCTACAGCTAGTGCCATGAATCCTGATTTCTATTCTACAAAACTGGTGCTGTAGACCACAGGGAGGTGTATTGTTCACACCTCTATGGCAGTTCAAATCCATCATCAGCTCCTTGGTGAAAGATGGGCCATCTCCCTCAGCGCAATTACGGTCTCAGAAACCCAATGGATGGTCAGCTATGCGCCAGTTCTATCGTGACAGCAATGAGAGGGTAACAAACTGTAGAAGAAAAATACGCTTGCTAAAGCCGTCCATGAGTGGTATTTTGTTACAGCAGCACTAGATACTTAGAGTGGTCTACAAATCAATCCAGATTCACGGACACCCCAGGACAGGATTCTACAGCACTAGACCTTCTGGAAGCAGATGGACGGGCCTGTTTATCAATAGCCCTCTGGGTGGATTGGAACCGCCCACTTTCAACCCTGCCGCACTCTCAAAGATCTCCGCTAACAGTGTGACATGTGATCCAGAAGATCTAACGCTCCCAACACAGGATGTGTTGCTTTATCGACCAGCGGCCCAGTGAAGCACTTGAGTGGTCCGCACATCTTTACAAGACGTCCGGACGTCACTTACTGCTCCGCTGCACCTCCTCCGGCGACGGAGGGGAGCCGCTCTGGGAGGGCCGGGACTTACCAGGACCTCTGAGGAGGGCACCACAGGTGGGATCGCTGGTGAGCACAAGGCCCTGCGTGCTGCCTGAGGTGGGAACTAAGGGGCCAGCAGGTGGGCAGCGGGAGCGCTCTGTACAGCCGCTCAGAAAGCGAACGTGAGGGGCTGCTGCGAAACCTTGACTTCTCCAGGCAGTTCCAAGTAGGGTGCACCTTAGAGGCCTCCTCCTCGGGGTACCAGCCCCAGCCCGAGTCCCGGACTCCTCCTCCAGGCAAGGCAGCCGACGTCAGTGTCCTCGCCAGGGATAGCCCCGCCACCCGCGCGATCACACTTCCGTTGCCAGATCCTGGCGCCCGAAGCTGGCACAGGAAGCCCCGGAAACGACTAGGTGCATGCGCCGCAGAAAGTGTCAGGCCAACATCCCGGAGGAAGGCTGATTGGATGTTAAACCTGCCTTCTCTAGAATGGCCAATAAGCAAGGAGAATTCCCTGATATGGCCAATCAGAATGCAGTATTTGATGACATCACATTACAAACCTCTGCCATCTTAACAAACAAACAAAAAAACCCAAACAAGCTGAAATTGTTAACAATCTCAAATCTCTTACGTCAATCATTAAGCTGCCAATTGACAGAGTGGTGAGAATATTTGTTTTCTTGATGTTGAGCTTCAGTGAATACTGAAGACTACAATCTTTGACCTTCTGCAGCAAATGCCTCATGTCCTCCTCATTTTCAGCATGCAAGGTTGTGTTATCTGCATAACGCAGGTGAATCTTCCTCCAATACTGATGCCATATTTCTCCTCATAAAATCCACCCTCCTGCATGATCTGTTCAGTATATCAATTGAAAAAGTATGGGAATAGCCACTACTGGGAATATACCCTGAAGAGACCATAGCTGACATCCAAGCAGATATATGCACACCCATGTTTATTGCAGATTTGCTCACAATAGCAAGGAGTTGGAAACAACCTAAGTGCCCATCAACAAACGAATGGCTAGAGAAGCTGTGGTATATTCGCACAATGGAATACTATGCTGCA